GGGGGGGGGGGGGGGGCGCTCCGAAATTCACGCCATACAACCGATCGGCGGCTATAGAGCCGCTGATCGGCTGTAGTAACAAGCGGTTCTTTCCTGCCCGTGCGCGCGCTAGGGGGCACGCGCGAGCAGGAAAAAAATGCCGTCTGGCGACGGCAACCCGCAGATAGGAGTCAGCCGTCCGTCCGTTTTTTCTTAACGGGCGGACGGCAAGAGGTTAAGGAAGGCTTCTTCTAAGAGGTCATTCAGCTCAATTACATTTGGGGAGAAAAAAGGTTTTTAAAGTGCTGCCAATCAGCAAACAGAACATCCTCCAAGGAATGAATAGGATATGTCTTAGTGGAATGCGTCTTTTTCAGCAAACTCATGTTGGTGTTCTTTCGGAGATCTTGTGCAGGTGGATCCAGTGCAAGGCACTCCTTAACCACATAATCTAGTGCCTTGATGGTGTCACGCATCTTCTGAGACCGAACCAGGGAAGGAAAATCCTCCTGTGAGGATACATTCAAATCAGAGGAGGTATGCACCTCCACATCAGCCCCACTCTTTTTCTTCATCTGGTGAAAATGAGGCCGTCGTGGCTGCATTAAACAGGAGACCGGAGGGGATAGGGAGGGCTACACTTGTGTCCCTTGCAACTAACCTCTTCAATAAGAGCTGACAATTGACTCAAAGGAAGTCAGACACCGCAAAGTCCTCCTGGCTGAGGCATGAGGGACCCCAGATCAGGTGACAGATGCAATATAGAAGGCGAAGCAAGCCCAGCTCAGGGCTAACAAACAGGCCATCAGGAGCAACCTCCCCAGAGGAACTGTCAGAATGTTCCCTACATCCCAAAGGTGCTAAAGAGCTAGCTACCCCAGTGTTCTTGTGCTTTCTCTCTGCCATAGTGAAGGGCCCCAATAAGTATTCACAAAAGTACACCAAGGGTCATACGCCGGTCCCCGCAGTGGTCGTGGTAACCAGCAAACCCTTCACGGATGAGGTATAGATGGGTGAGAACACTTACTCACCACCTGCAGGTCAGGGACATACACAAGGACCAGTGGGGGATTGCCTGCACAGCCTCGGCTTTGCTCGTTTGGAAGAGCCTACACCCTTTTCCAAGAGGGGTCTTCAAGTACTGCGTCACACCATGTGGATACGCCACCACCCTGGAAATGTATAGCACCCAGCGGCTAACCCAAAGCGTTGCACCGTGTGCCAAGGTGGGAGCCAAACACAGGATCCAGTGTGCGAAGCAACAGTACAGGCCTGGCTTCTTCAGACCAGAGGGTCCGGTCCCCAAAGCCACCGCCATGGGGTAACGATCTGCAAGCTGCAAGGTAGCCACTGTGGCTGGCCGCAGCCAGAAGTGCTTGAGAGCAGAATCATCAAAAAAAAAGGTAATTTTTTCCCCACATCCCCCAGAAGAAGGCAGACATCCATCACCTATGGACACTAGCAAAAAAACTGAGGATTTCCTGCAGGGGGTAGGGTTGTTGCCAGTGTCCAATCACCTGGTGATACCTGCATATTACCCAGTCATCTCTGAATTGCCTGTGTCCTGTACATTCGAGAAATGTGACCATGTGCACCCAGCTTAAGATTTGGGATTGTGCTCATACAGCTGTACACAAACTGTACAAAACTACCATCTGCAGACAGTTATGACTTATGCATTCTTCTCTGCTCTCTCAAACAAAAAATCTTATTGAGAAAAGACAACATGCCTAAAGGCAGAGCAGTGTTTCGCAGTAAAATTATCACAGATTTTCTGCTGTTAGACTTCCTCAGGTAGCAAGCCAAAACAACATCTAGTCCCCTAGCAATGTCTCTGGTATGCTCTTGCCACAGTGTGCACTGGCTTCTCTAGAAAAACCAAAGTAAATGAAAAATCCATTTATGTCAGCTCAGCAGAGAGTTTAAGACAGAGATATTCCCAAATGATTTTCAGCTGTTTTTACTGTACAAGTAGTAATATTCTAATTTCCATTTTTAAAAACAGAGGCATTATTAATTGATCAACTGTTACCTTTTGCTAGGCGCTCTAACCTTTTTCCATGTTCAGGAGGAATTGCATACCTGCAAAAATATATATATATATTTAAAGCACGATATAAGACAAAATTAATGTTTTCATTCAAAATCATATTAAAAAAATACCATCTAAATGTCTTTTGTAGCAGCTTGATAAATATGGACAATATGAAACCAAATAAAAAAGACATAAAAAATAATAGGATTTTTGTACTCACTGTAAAATCCTTTTCTCTGAGTTCATTGAAGGACACAGGAAATTGAAGATCACTTACCACAGGGTTATATAGAAGGACGCTAGGCACAAAGCAAAGTAAAAAGACAGGTCAGGGGCGGCCCCTGCAGGTGGCCAAACCCCCCACCTGCTGACAACAAGCAAGTAATGAAAACACACGCCCATAAAGAGGGCGGAGACCTGTGTCCTTCAATAAACTGGATTTTACGGTGTGTATAAAAATCCTATTTTCTCTTCCGTTAATTGAAGGACACAGGAAACTGATCGAAGATCATGTACCACAGGAATGTCACAAAGCAGTAACATCCAGAGGGTAGGCACTTAGAAAAGATCCCACACAAAGAGCCATCTAAAGGGCCGCCTGCAAGAACTTGTCCGCAACGTCCGCAGATGCCAAAACATCCACCTTAGAAAACTTAGCAAAAGTGTGAACAGAAGACCAAGTAGAGGCCTGCAAACCTAAAAGACAAAGGCACTATGACGAAAGGCCCAGGATGCCCCAATAGCAGAATGAGCTGTAACAGGAAAAGGAGGCCCCATGCCACCTAATGGCATATGCCTGAACAATCGTGGTATCAGTTCATCGAGAAATATAAGCCGAGAAAGCTGTCTGTCCCTTCAGAGGACCCTCTGCAACAACAAACAAAGTCGTACGAAAGCGCGAACTACATCCAAACAATGCAATTGCAAGTTCAAGGAGCAGTCCAGAATACTAGCGCTCTTCAGGGGGCAGGGATTGGCAAGATGTCCTTACAAGGACACTTGTGTTTGTTAGTGGTCATGGCAGGGTCCGCCGCAGCCGCGTGTAGTGCAGTTGATACGGTCCCGGCCCCCCCTGTACAATTGCTATTTGGTACCTTCCTGTGTACGTGAAGAAAGGTGTTTTTCTTTTCTTTTTCGGGGCCAGAGCTTTCTTTTTAGTGAGCTGAACCACCAAAGAACAAGGCGGGAGCGAAGGCTGCTGGAGTGGAGGTTAGCAGACGTCTGAGGCTGGAGGGAACTGCAACAGCTGAGCTTGGTGCCCGACACTGGGGTGGGGGGGAAGTAGAGTTTTGCAGAGGACAGCACTGCAGTTGGTGCCCAAGCCTGAATAGGGGCCCGACACTGGGGTGGGGAGCCTTTGCAGCACCGGTTACATTTGTGGACCATGCCTGTTACTCATTGTCTCACTCCTGGGAGATGTTAAAGTGACGGAGTAAAAAATCCCAGTCCCCCTTTAATGCTGCTGTAAGGACTTGCCTTAAATGATGCCTCTTGATCAGATCATCTTCTATCCAGTAGTTTTCAGGAGTCCCTCTAGCGCTGGTGCCGGTCTCTGATCCAGTGCCGACTGCTGTGTCATCTGTGTCCCATGGTGTCTGTCCGACGTGCACGCTGCCAGGCTGCCTGCATTGACTTACCCTGTGTTTCTCCTCTTCTCCTGGCCGAAGATCTCTTCTGCGCATGCGCCCGACCCATGATCCTTCACAGCCGCTCGAGAATCTTCAGATGGGAGCGAGCGGCGGATACAAGTAATAACCTATTTGCTAACTTTTTTTATTTTTTTTATGTTTTCACATATATCTACTGCTTGCTAGTAGTAGTAGATATATGCAAAAAAGAAAAAAGAAGGTTTAATTCTACTTTAAGAGAAGTTGGATGGAGATTGCTACTTCATCCATTTCTACAAAAGGACTTTGATGCCGTGCCATGTCTAAATGCAACCAAAAAATATAAAAGGTAGCACTTTTGAAATTTTTTGAAACAAGCAGTCTTTATATAAATGTTATTTTAAACTTATTTGTATATGTGGAACTAGGGCAGAGACTAGACAGTGTTTTTGATGGTTCTAATTTGAAAAGTACCTTGGTGTCCTTCACTAAGTTCTGTACTATGGAAAATGTCCACCACAGCCTTGGTCAGTGCCTATCCCGGGGGGGGGAAAGGGAGGGGGGTGGCTGTGATGCAGGGGGTGGTGTTGGTGTGCGACTTCCTGTTTGTATGGACCGGGGTGTCCACCACGTGTGACAGCAAAACAAAAAGGAGACAAGAAAGCCTCATGACCAGGCAATTGTGAGGGTGTGGGCCGATAAGGTTTTTTATTGGTTGCTGGTGTTGCTGATTCGCTTAATGGTGATGTGGAGGCAAAAGGGGTGCTTTGCATCCCAGCTTTGTTGGTTGGGAACCGACCCGTCTCACAGCCCCACTGCACGCGCCATCTCCAGCCTTGTGCCCATCAGCTGACCACAAAAACAGGACAGCAGCTCTTGTGCCTCCTCTACCTCCTTCCACATGATCACCTGGAGACAGGGACATTCTCCCTCTACACTAGTCGTCCACCGACACAGGATGGCTGCTCCTGATCACCTGGAGACAAGGATGTTCTCCCTCTGCACATCCGCTCCACCAATTGGACATTATCCCATCCTCTCCAAATCAATGAAAGAGACCTAGCTCCAAATCATCACACCACACCGGACCTTAAGAGAATCGCTCCAACCCTTGTCGATGACATCATGTCACCATTAACCCAACGGTGAGTTTCTACACACTGCACATGTGATCTAGTTACTCGTGTACCTCACCTCTCCACCATTCTCTTTTCAGTTCCCAACCAACAAAGCTGGGAGGCAAAGCACCCCTTTAGCCTCCACATCACCATCAAGCGAATCGGCAACACCAGCATCCAATAAAAAAACCTTCTCATCAGCCCACACCATCTGCAACACTTTTGCTCAACTTTAGATGTGCGTTTATGGATCACAACTGCGGAGTAGGTAATTCACCTTCACAGACTATGTCACTTAGTTAGGGGAGACACTTCAGTCCAACAACAGTTTGTAGAAAGGCAAAATATAAGCTCAATAATAACAAATGGGGAAAGGAGAAGCGCCTCAAATAACAATAAAGTGGACAAAAAACTCCTGAGTTCCAGCGTCAATCTATAATAAGCAAGGTTCCCCGAAAAAAACGGAATCCCAAAATAGGAGCTGTCTATAATAATCAAACAGGTAATGATAATGCCCTCTGAGGAAGCCCCAGTGTACAGGGGTGAAACGTTAGGGTTAAACGTGTATACAGCCCTCCCTTTGTTCCCATGATTTTACTCTGCAGACTCTGCTGGATATACGGAATCCCTTCGGGGACACTGATGGCAAAGCAAACCAACCAAATCATGGTGGATCTGACAGTACTACCTTTACTCTGAATACTATCTGCTCACTTTTCTTTGGCTAAATCCATGCTGACTGGACCCATTAAGAGAAAGCTACACTCCTCGTGGATCTTTATTCACCTGCATTCGTTAGTGCGGCCGCACATATGGAATACAACTTTCCAGCTTTACTATCAAACACAGGTCTGAATACAACTACATAGGCAGGAGCCGACTTGGAGGATCCACAGCAGACCTCGCAGCAATTATACCAACATACAGGAAAATAAAGTTGCTGAAACCGGGGACCAGCAGTCCGGGACAGCCATTGTGACCATTACCTCATGCATGCTTGAAGTCTTTTTTTGTTAGGAACTGTCTTACCACCTAAACCACATCAGAAGTGAGTAATTCCTTCTTTTTCTCTTCTTTGATACTGAGTATTTGCTTGCCTAACACAGCGCTTGTGTCCAATATCAGTGACTCTTAGTGACCACCATTAACGGTCACTAGATTCTCATCTATATCAATCAACACTGGGCTATATCAGGGAGGACTTGTTTGTCATTTTAATTGATTTTAGATGTTCTTTGTCAGTAGGTGTATTCATATGTTTTTCTACTTTATTATTAATTCTCATTAAAATTTGTTACATTATCATTACCTGTTTGATTATTATAGACAGCTCCTATTTTGGGATTCCGTTTTTTTCGGGGAACCTTGCTTATTACAAAATATAAGCTCCCAAAAGATATATAAGAGAATCAATTACATAACAATATTTGCGCTTCAGCTGACATATAAGAGGATTGGAACACTTCAGGAATTCACAGCTATTGGAGGTGCTGTGCCTTTAACTATAGAGATAACAGTTTGTTTCAGCAGGATCTGTTTGTTGAGAGCTGGGGGATGGTAGCTGTGTTAGTTAGAGCAACGTCCAGACACAGTCCTGGTTTGAAGGTAGCAGCAGCAGCTGAGATTGTGAGAAGGAAAAGTCCAGTGTCAGTCTGCTTTAGACAAGGAAGGTATGTCTGGGGAAGACAGCAGCAGCGTGTCTTCCAGCAAGGTACTCCAGTAAAGCGAGGGGGGAGAGAGGTCACAGTGCAAACAGGAGATGTGCGGTGTTACCACATGGTGTCTACACATTGAACTGACATTGGACAATTGAATCTGGCGCCTTAAACCAGGTATGAGGGTGGAGCTGAATGACGCCTCAGCTGAGGGGGCGGTGCCAAGCACGGAGACAGGAATGAAGGGGAGGTGAGTATGTTACACCATCACAATTGCCTGGTCATGGTGCTTCCTTCTCTTTTTGTTTTACCATCAAAACAAAGCAGCACCCTCTCCTTCTCATGAACAGGCTTCGGACACAAGGAAGGCAAAACAATGTTCATGTAGCTCAGAATCCAGCCGAACTCTTCCAAGGACCCCACCGTGACCGCATATTGGTCACTAAGTCGGGAAGCAACTACGTTTTAAAGATAAGATCGTCCAGATACAGCACAATCAAGATACCCTGGCAACGCAACAACGCCAACACCCTGGTTAACAGCCATGGAGCCAACGCCAGACCAAAAGGCTGAGCCACAAACTGGTAGTGGTCCTCCCGCACAGCAAACCGAAGATAACGCCGATGGGAGTGACAGATCCTGACATGCAGATAGGCATCCTTGATGG